GAAGGAAGGAAGGAAGGAAGGAAGGAAGGAAGGAAGGAAGGAAGGAAGGAAGGAAGGAAGGAAGAGGGGGGAGGATCCAACGATCAAATGAATGAACAAAGAGGCTGTACTTACTTAAGTGCTGCTCTGGCCAAATCATGTGGCATCAGATCTTTGTATCTGGGGATAATAAAATACACCAATTTAACACCAAGATCTTTTACTTCAAGAAGATCAAGAGGAGAGCTCACATTTACACAGCTCTTTCCAGTTTACAAAGCCTTCTCACCCAATTCCATGAAGTAGGAACCATATGTATTATTTATCTTCATTTTACTGCTAAGGAAACCAGGGTGAAGTGATGTGGTAAGCTAAGCTCCAGAAAACTTCAACGGGTACTGAACACTTATATAAAGAATTAACAAAAAGGTGGCTCTATGCAGTGCCTTCCCCTCCCCACTCCCCACCAGTACCCCAGGATGCCCCTGCCCTAGGTGCTGCTCCCCTGATTGGTTGGTCCCTGGCCAGGGCACTATTTCATGAGGGGTCCCAGTCATGTTAATTTCACTCTATCTCTTGACCAGCAGCTCTGCCCCCAAACAAGGACTCACCTCCATCTCCTCCCTTTTCCAGCCTCACTTGATGGTTTGTCCTCCCCTATCAGAATGTGAACTACTTGAGAAGAGGGTCTGCCTTGTTCTTGTGACTTATAGAGCCTAGGCACAGGGCCTGGCACAGAATAAGCACAAAATAAATGTACTTTCTATCAATATTATTAAGCATGAAACACTAAAAATTTTCTAAGGGTAGTTTCAACCTTTACAGACGAGGCTCTGTGTTAATTTGTAATGGGAGACTCAATGGGTATAAATTTCTTGAAATCACCCTTTGGGTCAGAGAGCAACCAATAACTCTGTAACTTCCAAAGCTAACCTTATCCTTTCAGTCTTAATCGTGGAAGAATTTGACAAACTCTTAAGTGTACCAATGTTAAAATGCCAAAACTATTTTTCCATTTAGAATTGTGAAACCTTTATTGCTCTATTCCACACACTGACACAAACACATACACACCAGGTTTATCGATTCATCTTCTCTTTGGTCTTCTTAAGTCTATTCCTAAATGCTTTTGCTGGACAATTCTCTACCTCTATTTTGGACCTAACCTTCTCAACAACCAACCACTTGCACTGAATGGCAATTTATTCCAGGCAAGCAGGAAAAGAAGTCAATGTAATTTATTCTGATCCTTATATTTCCTCCAGAGGGTGGGGTACATGGGTAAGGGCTGCATAAACATTTTTATACTGGTAAAGTCTGTGCAATTCTCAAATCCCTATCTTTGATATGTGCTTTTGTAAAACTTATTCATTATTTCAAGCAAAACAAAGTAAAGGGGGCAGTTCTTCCCCTAATCCTAGCCTCCAGCCTGCAGCTAATCTCTCAAAGGAGGTGTTAAAGAGGTGTTAAACTAAGGTCTAGTCCCAGATGTCTTTATCAGATGTGAACACCTAGGAATGAATGAAAAAAGAAACAATTTCATTGGTGAAAACAAATTAGTTACTCACTCCCTGGGGACTTTAAATAGCTAAGCTTTGAGGACTCAGTCAAACCTTAGAGCAGTCATAGAGTAGACCCCTCTGCAGAGGTAGTGGAGGAGGAGAGACTTCTTCCTCTTCTCCCCCACCATCTCCCATTAGTGAAGGCATCCAGCAGTGGAGAATTAGATATCTAATTCATCCTTCAATTTCTCCTCAATCAAGGACTTGAACTAAATTGTGAAATAAAAGTCTAAACCAATCTGCTGAAACCAAAGCAAATCAAAAGCAAATGTTAACTTTTGGTGCACCTCGAATTGAACCAAAGTTTAAAAAAGCAATCCCCTGGCCTGACCCCTATCTGAAGTTAGCGAACCATCTGAACAAGACCTATTCTGGCATATAGTCCTTAGGTAGGGGCAACTGAGAATGCGTGGTATCTATCTCTCCCCACTGTCCAAAGGTCCAGGGCTGAAAAAAGGAAGCCATTCCTTGCTAGAGCTGCATCAGGGTTTGCGCCAGTACAAGGTAGAAATTGTTGCTAGAAATTATTCTTGCGAGAACTTAGTGTGATGTTATATATAGTGCTTACATGGTTACACTAAGTGCTACTGTCCAGATACAATTTAGGTGAAATAGACTTCCATGGGCTACCCTAGAAACTCTACTACTTACAACATTGTTTCTAAAGGAAAATAAGATCAACTTTGCAAACGTTTGACTTCTCAAAGCTTCTAACACAAGATACTTACAAATCAGGGACTTCGTACCCCCAAACCGGAACAAAACCTGATAAATTGCTCTTTGCTGAATCTGAACAGAGTTGTATTAGTTTAGATCTCTTCTACACTGCACATATTTTTATCTGCTCCCTTCTGACCTAACTAGGCTACTTTTACTGAAAAGGAGTAGAATCAGCAAGGTGAACAATCATTTGACTCGATACAATCCAGCCAAATCCCATGGGTTTATAGCAAGAGGGAGCCAGATACAGAAAGGTTCAGACCATTTCTGAATCTCCTCTATTGACCAAAAACTCCAGGCAGCCTGGGACAGTCTTTGGCCCACGATGCCCCTGGAGTCACCTTGAGTCCAAGATCAGTGGCTCAACTAATCTGGTCTCTTCAGAGCTGTTTAGACAGCTAAGGCTGAGGTTCCACAATCTAAGGGCTCAGCTGAAGCCAGAATAATCTTAGATAGGAAGTGAGCCAAAGTGCTCTTCAGTTTGCTACATTTCATTCTGGCTTCCAACATTCTGGAAGATTTCTGTCACAGGTGACCTACAGAATGTCAGAATCCTATTCTTTCTAAGATATTTGAGGATTACTTTGCTCCATTTAAAATGAAGACTTCAGTCCACCACCAACAGCAACCACTTGTGGCTGTCTTAGAAAAAGGAAGTAACATGATAGTTTCATACTTACGAAGTGCCAGACAGCAGAAAGGGAATGCGCACCCCATCCACCACCACAACATTCTTCACATTGGGCTTGGTTAAGGTCTTCTTACTTTGGATCTGTACAGCTTTAAGATAAAGTTCAACAAACAACTAAAAAACAAATTAACAGTCTTTCCCCAGAGTTTTGAAGGGTAATCCAGGAATTAATCATTCAACAAGCATTTATTAAGCACCGATTATGTGCCAAGACATTCTGACAGGTGCAAGAGATAACAAAGATAAAAGTGAAACATACCCAACCCTTAAAGAATATACATTCTGTCTAGGGCAGGGGTGGGGAAACTGCGGCCTCGAGGCTACATGTGGCCCTCTAGATCCTCAAGTGCAGCCCTTTGACTGAATCCAAATTATTCTGTGAAGACCCACCCCTAGTCTAGGGAGACAACATATAAGCATACACAAAACAGATGCAAGGAAATTTTTTTTGGCAGGGGTACAGGTGGGTTTGAGAGGGGAAGGCAACAGCATATTGAGGATATTAAGTGGCACCTGAGCCAAACTGTGGAAACAACTTGAAATAATTCTAAGAGTTGAAGATAAAGAGGGAGGGCATCTCAGGAGATGACAAGCAAAAGCAAGGAGATGAGAGAATATACGAGGAACATCAAAAAGGTCAGTTTGGCTGAACTGCAGAATGGGCAACTCAATCAATTAGTCGATAAACATTTATTAAGACCTACTATGTGCCAAGAACTGTGGTAGGGATAGAAGTACAATGAATGAAAAAAGAAGCATAAGGAGTATAATGCTGAAAAGGTAGATTACAGCCAGGGTGCAAAGGGCTTTAATTGTCAAACACAAGTTCATATTTGATCCTATAAGTAACTGGAATTCACTGGAGTTTAAGTGGAGGCAGGGCTTTCTTGCCTTTTTATATGAGTATTCTCAGCACTTAGCACAGTGCCTGCCACATAGCAGATGCATTAATAAATGTTTATTGACTGCTGGTTAACTAAAATAGCAGGCTAGGAAATTGGTTTAAATACTTATAGCTATGTTGATAATAATTCTAAATAAAATTCAACGTTGAAGAATGAGAACGCACCTGGGAACATAGTTAATACCAATAGGCAGATATTCTTGCTGGGAGATGGAGATGTTTATTTTTATTCAGTGCTCTACTTTTCTACCTCTTATAAAGCAATCTATGCTCACCCTTTCTATTGGAATGTTATTGTTGGGTGAAGTGGACTGAGTTGTCACAAAAAAAAAACAACCCCCTAGCCTAACCTCCTCAGTTTCTACTTCAAAGGATCGCTAATCCCAATTGTAAACTGCTCTACCTCAAAGGATCGCTAATCCACAACTATAAACTGCTGGGTATAAAGTTTTGTTATTTCCCTTGCTTGGGGCTGCTCTCCTAGGATTGCATCCAGGGGACAGTCGCCAGCCGGCTCCAGTAAATGCTCTCTATTTTCTAATTTGGCGTGTGTCTGGTTACTCTCGGCCCGTCCATTTCATTGGGGATGTTTTTTTTTTCCAATTTTTATTGATAGCTTCCGTTTATATCCCCTTCATTTCCAAATGCATCTTTCTCCACTCCCTAGTGTATCATCTTTGGAGACAAAGGATATAGAAAAGAGAGAAAGAAGTAGGTCAATTCTATGCTTCACATGCACAGGACTTCCCCTCTGCAAAGAAGGAATGAAGGTAGAAAAGACATTGCCATTCTGTCTATTATTCTCCATGTGTGCTAACATGGCAGAAAAGTCTGACAAAGGTCCAGAAGGCCATACCACGTGCATGTGCAAAATTGCACTTTGATTTTTGGCTGGAGTCATTATTTGCAAAAGCCTGGAATTCTTTCTGGCCCGTCTCAGACAGATACTATTGTAAAGTTGTTGCAATGAAAGAGAAATAAGAAGCTAAGGGTCAATATAAAAAGAGATCACAGAATGTTCAAGCAGGAATGTGAGTCAGGAGATCCTAATTTCAATGTCAGCCTGTTTTCTCTACTGGCTCTAGGATAAAGTTCAGCCTCCTCTATTTGGCATTGAAAACCCTTCACATTCTCACTCCAATCTTTCCAGGCTAATTGCCCACTGTTTTCCCCCTTATACTCTTATTCACCCTCCAGTCAAATTGCCTTTCCTGCATGCCTGCAATGCTCTCTGTCTTCACCTCACTACATCTTAAAACTACTTTGTTGTTGTTTAGTAATTTTCCAAGCACATCCAACTCTTCATGATTCCTTTTGGGATTTTCTTGGCAAAGGTACTGGGGTGGTTTGACATTTCCTTCTCCAATTCATTTTAAGATGAGGAAACTGAGGCAAATGGGATTAAGTGATTTGCCCAGGGTCACACAGCTAGTAAGTGTCTGAGGCTCGATTTGAGCTTAAATCTTCCTGACTTCTGGTCTGGCACTCTATCCACTGTGCCACCTAGCTGCCCCCTTAGAACTACTGGTTCCCTTCAAATAAGCCTCAGATCCAAAGCCACTCCCTACTGCAGACCCTTAAATTGGACCCTGGTCCAATTTGTTACCACTCTGTACCAGGAGAATGGAAAGTTTCTGAGGGTTTGGATTGTTTCCTCTATATGTATTCCCAGAGCTATCAAACACAAAGGGTGCTTAATAAACATTTGTTGAATGGAAACTGAATTGAATAACAACTGGCTAGATGTGTGATCCAGATAAATCACTTAACCTCTCTCAGACTATAAGTTATAAATAGGCTATTCCTGTAGAGTGGTTCCCACATTGACAAAATGACAGGACCTTGACATGTTGACATAATTTAAATGAAACCTAAGAAATCTAGTCCAACCTCCTTGTTTTTTACAGATGAGGAAACAGTAGCCAAGAGAGCTGAGGTGACTTGACTAATATCACATAGCTAGAAATCTGAAGGTGAAAATTTTCTGTGTTTTCAGAAATGTTTTGTTAAAAAAAGACATTTATCTGGGAGATGCCATTAGCAATATTAATAATACCTGGCATTTATATAAAATTGTAGGGTTTGTAAAATGCCTCATATACATTATTAATAGGAAGGCAAATTCATGATAGTAGATAGTGCAGAGCAATAGGGAAGTGAAGGAATGTAGAAAAAACATTGGCTCTGGAGTCAAAGGAGGCAAGGCTGTAAGTAAATCATTGTCCTCTCTGAAGCTATTTCCTCATCTGTAAAAATGAGAGGGAAAGACCACATGATCTTTAAGGGCCCTTCCAGCTCTAAATCTATGATTATATGATTTATGAAATCCACTAATACCACTATAATTCTGCCTTCACTAAGAAACCTTCCAATGATTAAATCTTGCTTTTCAGGTATCTTGTTATTTGTAAGGTAGTATCCTGAATGTGGGACATATGTATTCCAGTAACTAGGCAATCAGGAAACAGTTTCCTGATTAAAACAAATAAGCCAGCTTTTAGGTATAAATCAGGCTCATACAAGATTTGGATGGTATAAGCCAATTATATCAGGACTTGGCCACATGTGGACAGATCAGCTGGCCATCAAGGTTCTAGACACTGGACCATGAAGATGTCCCCAAGACGCTTTAGTATGGGGTACTGAAAAAAGCATTGGACTTGGAGTCTTTAGACCTGGGTTCATGACCTTGTTCTGCCAATGGGCAAGTCATCTCAGCTCTAAGCCTTAGCTTCCATAAAATGGGGACAACACTTCGCTGCCTCTCAAAAGGTTATCATGTAAGGAGGGTGCTTTATAAAGTGTTAAGTGCCATAGTACTGTAGGCTACTGTTATAAGACAAATCAAACTTCCCCCTCCTCATCATAATACAACTGAACCCAGTTAAAACACTATATATGCACAACTAAATAATAACAATTTGATGATTTTCTTCACAGAGGTATGATGATAAATAAGCTGCCCCTCCCCAACCCATTTTACAATTCAATATTTAGAATCCCCCAAAATGTATGCAAATGACTATACCTGTTGACAGTGGTTGGGAGGCATAGCTCAGTGGTCTTAGAGCTGAAACAAAAAATAATTATGAATTTATTTTTTAAACGGAAAAATAGTTTATAATTTTTAGATCTTAAGGATTTTTTTTTTTGTTTTGGGTTTGTTTTTTGTTTTTTTTTGTTGTTTGTTTGTTTGTTTGTTTTTTAGAGAAATTAAAATTTAACTTACAGAATTTGGTGGCCCAGGTTGATGTCACAGGTAGATTTCTGAAAGCGCAAGTCAATATGGAAGTCATTTTGAAGTCTAAAAAAAAGAAACAAAAAGATCACCTAAATTACTTGCATGTTTTATAGCTAGCTCTATAAAATACAATGAATATGTAACACTTTAAATCTAATTTATTACTTAATAAATGGCAAAATATTCTCTCTTTTAAGGCCAAGATGAACTTATGGTACTGGTCAAGGTTAGAGACTATTCCTTCCAACTCTGGCTGAATATAAAGGCATTCTTCATTTTAAGAAGCTCCTGTTTACACTTTTCAAACCTGGAAGAATTTATAAGACAGGGCACTACTGGCAAGTACCAAGCACAGCTTAATGTACACAACAGACATTTTAAAGTATGCAAACAAAAGAAGACGTTCTAAATTTGTTCATAAGTTTTTACCAGGGTATCAAGAGATTGTTCAGGCAGACATAGAAGAAATATAATGGAAGGTGGAGGTGAAAGGTGAATCTTTTAATAAGACCTGTGATTTCACTGGTATAGCCAACTCCTGATGAGGAAACACTCTCTGCCAATGCAGATCAGTAACTGCTTCTTAACTTAAGGTCTTAGGGAAAGTGTCTTCTCCAGAAATACACAACCATTGTATGTCAGGGGCCCCACTGGAAGCCAGGTCTTTTGATTTTGAGGCAACCTCATGTTGTACATAACATGACAGATAGAGTAAGTGTGGAGTAAAAATCCTGGTATAAGTATAAATCTAAAATTTATGCAACATTCTTAATGCTCCTGTGATCTAGCTCTATAAACCCTGATGCCACAAATTAGCTACCTCTTAATCATGCCCCAGGCTTTCATTTCCATTAATTCCAATCTCTGCTATAGGAACATTTCATAATAGAAGTCAATGAAACTTATTTGTTCCCTTAAGAGGCACAAAGCAAACACTGCACACATATTTATTGATCTATTCCATAACTTTCAAAAGATTACCTAAATAACTTGAAAAGAACCCAAGGACAGTTAGTCCCTTACCCCTGAGAGAAAAGATAGTCACCTCTTGGTGCATTTTTGTTTTTTGGTTTTTTTTTTAGATAAAAGCTATGCCACTTACCACTTATCATTAGCCCTCAAAATAACTATTTTAAGAACCTTCCCCATGCCTCTAGCCTACCACAGCAAACTGCGGTTTTGCACACAAACCCTATTTAGGTTGTGGTCAAGAGGGTCTTTCTTTAAAACCAAGAAATTGAACTATTCCTTAATGTTGCAAAGTATCCTAATAAAATAAGGTCATTTACCTATCTGAAGAAGCTTCTACTAACACCTTAAGGTTATGATTTCAAATATAACAGATTTGAAAAAATTTTTCCTAACCAACTGGCTTTGCATTAGGACAAAATATCAGTCTTTCCCTTTCTAAGTTCTATCCTTTTCCCTCTATTTCCTGTATAATTAGGCAGAGAAATATAATTCTCATTTTATATCAAACTTCCACAAATGTCCATGAATTCACCCTTCTTACCCACCTCCTGTAATAAATCCTCCATAAGGCTCCACCCCACCTGCTAGAGGGTTTCTTTAAATCTCTGGATATCATGTACATTTGAACAGAATGTATAAGCTGCCCATTAGACTCTTTTCCATAAAGACAAGTCCATTTCCTTATCTCAAACATCTCTCACCTCTCCAATGCTATCTTTTCTACCACAAGATCCTGCTACACAGTTCTTTTATATGGTAATAAAATGTAGCGTATTTATGTTTACCATGTATCTGTCCAATTCTCTTTGGGCAAAAGCTGTGATATATTCCTTGACTCACAGCCAGACATCACAACTAGAATATTGGCTATGTTAAAAAGATGGATCTCTGTTTCAACTTAATGCTTGGAGGTCACTAAAAGCATTTCCCAAAATGTAATCTAACCTAGCCCAAGGCCTTTCTTTGATTCAATTCAGTTCAATTCCATTTTTACATTCAAAGCCTAAGATACAGATATTGATAAGTCAACTCTATCTTCTAAATGCTTATTGTAATCTGAATAACAGGCACTCTTTTCTACTTGGTATTTTCTACATGAATAATTATGTGAAGCTCTTTTGAGTGATTAAGGATTTTATTTAGAAGGGGCCAGACACAAACCAGAGCCAGAGAACCTCACCATCTATAACACAAGTTCTTAACTTGTTTGTGTCACAGAGCTCTTCTTGGGCAATCTTCTCAGAATATTTTTAAATACATAAAATAAAGTGTAAAGATTACAAAGGAAACAAATTATATTGAAATACAGTTGTCAAAATATATTTTTAAATTAAACATGATGATATCTCCCCTTCCCATAATCTTTCTGTATATAAGGTCCTTCTTGTCTCCATTAAGGTGCTCAGATTTCTTATAATTTAACCAATAGCTCAGTAATGTTCAGATTCCTTAAGAGTCTGGCCAATATGGTAGATATTCTAATAAACCTTGTCTTTGGCTGAAAGAAGTCTTGGGTTAAATTCTTTCAGGCAGGACCCGCATATTTTGGGGTCCAAGTACCCCTAAACCTCAACACCAATAAGTACCAAACTGGTAGGTCCACTGTCACAGAAAAAGCAGTTTTGTTAAAGAGATTGTGACAATTTTATCCACCTCATTTTTTATTTTTTGGTATTTACTTTCCTAGCTTTGATGAGGTATGGACCCAAGCTGAGATCTTTGCCCCTTACCCCAAAAAGAATTTGGGTCTCATTTGTCTAAGTAATTCTCCCACTTGATCAAGGAGATCTCTGGCATTCCACTGAGACTACAGTCCTATCAATTATTTTCATTATGGCCTATGCCCAATCTCCCTATTCTCTGTAACCTTTAGCCTAGCCTAGCCCTCCATTGTCTATTACCTCCCAATGGCCCCTGAGTATTTCCCACCCTTGACCCTATTCTAGACCCCATTCTCGACCTCCCAGTCACTCCTATCAAGATTCTTCCTAGATCCCTCTCACTGTCTTTCTGTATATAAGGTCCATCTTTGTCTCCGTTAAGGTGCTCAGATTCTGTAAGAACTTAGCCAGTAGCTCACAAATGTTCAGATTCCTTAAGAGTCTGGCCAGTATGGTAGATCTTTAATAAACCTTGTCTCTGGCTGAAAGAAGGCTTGGGTTGAATTCTTTAGGGCAGGACCCATGTCTTTTGCTCTTGATATTTTGGTGTCCTAGCACCCCTAAATCTCTAGACCTCAACAGTTTCATCCTTAAATGTTCTCAGGATGATCTGGGTAACTGAGTTTCTGGTCAAGCTTTTTATAAATTTATGTGACCCTCCACTACTTGTCCCAAAATATTCCAAAGTGCTCCCCCATAAATTTTTACAAATGAATTTATATTCTAAACTGGAAAACTCTTATCTTTTCAAGCAACAAGGAGATTAAGTATCTGCAAGCTGAGTACTTTACTTATCTACTAAACTACCTTGAGGCAATATGGTACAGAGGCTAGAATGCTGGGCTTAAAGTGAAGACCTGGGCTCAAATCCCACCTCAGACACTTACTAGGGATATGAGACCCTAAAAAAATCAGACCTCTTCATGGCTCAAGAAACCCCCTAAGACTTACCTACCAAAATCATAGAGAAGTAGCCAAATTGGTGAAAGGAGTTACTCATAAAAAGGAAAGTCACTGGGATTAAACCTCCTTAGGATATGGTGATGTTGATAGTTTCTTAATTTTTCAGCATCAATAGGTCATTTAAAGAGGTAATGATAATTCCTCTATGTGCCAGGCACAGTTAAGTGCTTTACAAATATTATCTCATTTGAGCCTCAAAGCAACCCTGCAAGACAGGTGCTAGCATTACCTTCATTTTACATCAAAGGAAAATGAGGCAAACAGAAGTTAAGTGTCTTGCCCAAGGTCATACAGCTAATACCTGTCTGAGTCCAGATGGGAACTCAGATTTTCCTCACTTCAGGCCCACCACTTTATACACTGTACAACCTTGCTACATATGGTTGGAGTTGTTTTAATTGTTTGTAGTAGTGTATTTTTATTCTTCATTCTAAATTGCTATTTATTTTTATGTTTGCTCCAATAGTTCTATGGTTAGACTATACCCAATTGATTCAGAAATGACTCTCACAGGTAAGCTGTTTCCTCTCTGTTAATGTAATAGTTAATTTCATCTTTTGTAATATTATTCAATGGTTGTCATTTCCAGTGGTTCCCAAATCTACTGTTGAAGAAAACACTTATGAAAGATAGGCATGGGGCATCTGTGTAGTCTACAAGTCACTGGACTCTTGATTCTTAAGCCTAAGTCACATTTTTCAGCATTTCTGTCATCCACTATGCCCATTTTTACATTGAGATCACTAAGTATGAAAGTATATGTGGATTTAATTTGGAAGTCTTATCAAGTTTTTAACAGAATATCTTATCATCAGATATCGATGCATAATCTGCAATATTCATGGTGATCTTTTTGCAAATGCTTATCCTGAGCACTCCTATATAAGTAAGTAGCTCAGGAAATGTTCCTCATTGCCAAACCAACTCTGCCAGTTCCTTTATTTCCTCCCCAAGAAGAACCTGTAAGCCATTCTTTCATTTAGCTGCAATCTTCCAGACTTCTGGCTTCATTTGTAACTCATCTATCAAGATTAAGCTGATTCAGTTCTTGCCAGCAGCATTTGTACCCATTAGGCACTAGACAAGGATCTCGCATTTAGAGCTCCAACAACTAAGTTAATGTTTGTAAACTGTCTAAAAATTGTTCATTATTAGCACCCTTTGCAATTATCACTATAGAAATCAAGTCAAATCAAGTTAACAAGCATTTTTTATTATTATGCCGTGAACTGTGCTAAATGTTGGGAATACAAATATAAGGTAAAAGAAAGACCAGTCCTTCCCCTCAAGGAGCTTACATTCTAATGGGGGAAGACAATATTTAAGGGGAGCTGAAAAAAGAGTGTGGAGGAAGGTACCCTTGGTAGAGAAGTCCAGAGAGTCAGGAGCAGAGTCAGGAGATGCTTGAACATGACTGGCCTGGGCACTTCCTCAAAATAGAGATTCAATAAGAACTCACTAATCAGA